GCTCCTGAACCAGAAGTTGAGCAGGCGCTGCGTAAGCGTTTCTTACATAGCCTGCTAATTCCTGAAAAGTTTGATTTTGATGTTCCAAACGTGTATTAAACTTACGGAGGGTTAGTTCGTGTCCTTGGATCTGAGCAGCTTGCTCCTCAATCAACCTCCGGAGGTGATCTGCTGGGTTTTGTTTGTGGCCGGAGTGTTCTGTCATGATGGGTCTCTGTGATTAAACCCACATGCAGAACACCACAGGAGACTGGCTAAAAGTTCAACAGTTTATTTGAATAACCACACAGAGTTAATTGATTGCACAGGTTCTGGTACAGGTCCGGGACTGGATTCACAGAGTTCTCTGCAGAGAGGGACAGTTTGGTTAGCCAGGCAGTTTTGACGTCTTGGCAGAGTTTGATACTGAGTTGTACCTGATGAGGTTCAGACTGAACGGTGGAGAGAGGGAACCAGTTGGGTCCAGAGACAGAGGGTTCAGCAGAGAGCTTAGCAGCGGCAGAGCTTGGCTTCAGNATGAATGGACTGTTTAAGTAAAGTAAAGTCATACATTTCCTGTCAAAAGCTTGGACACACTTTATCCATGTAGTTAATCCTCTGAAAATTGTGCAAACATCACAGTGATACAGATTTAGATTTACACTGGGATTTTCGGTAACTTTTTATATTCTAGTAATATTCTTTCTCGTTTTTTGTACTTCACAAAGGAAAAATGTAGCCACATTTATTTATTGATCCATCTGTTGTCCTAATATCTCATCTTCCTATTTCAAGGTCTTTTCCTGCCATGTTTACTGGAAACTGGGCACGTTTTAAAAGGAAAGCACTTGAACCAATAAGGCCAACATGTTCACGTTTGTTAGAACTCCAGTTCTGCCTGTTACCGGAAAATTCAACCAGGACTCCAAGAGACGAAACAGTGCTCCTGCAAGCTGGATTAGGAAGGAGAACTGTAACTCTTGCAGATGATGCTGATCATGCAGAGGTAATGCAATTTTTATAACATGACACATGAATAATTGTGGAGAATTGATAGAATACATATTAATGCCTTACCCAATTAGTGATTCTGTTCTAAAATTTTTGCATGATCTTGCTTGCATGTAGCTCCTAAATTTGAAATAGGATGCAACTTCAACATCAACCCAGGTTCTGGTTACCTCCCACGTTAATGCTGCATTGTATTTTCAAATAATGAATGACATTTGTCTATTTTAGGTTATTGTGGTATATGAAAATGTATTTGCCCATTACCAGACTTTGAAAATGTATATCTATCTTTATTTTTCAGGAATTATTGCTCAACCATCTGTTTGAAAGACTGGATATGCGACTGTCAAGCTGGCTTAACCGTGTTCCTTTAGATCTTGATTTTCTAGAGTTTATATGTTCTCAGGAGATGGTCATTCTTACAGTAGTGCTATCTCAAACCAGCTAGAGATTCCTCAGGACATAATTGATACACTTGGTCATGTACACCAATTGCTCTGCAATGAAAATAAAAATGGTACAGAAAGACTTATTGTCGTACACGAAATTAATTAATTAGTCGTCTGAGAATATTAATTTCTGAGGAGTACACATTACAACTACTCAGTTTAGGATTACCACTAACTTGCATCGCCCAACTCCTTGGGGTGTCTAGAAGGACATTACACAGACACATGGCCGAATGGGGTTCAACGGTCAGAGCAAGCTATAGCAGCTTGAGTAACGAGGAACTGGATTCTCTTGTGTCAGAGATCCACAACAGTAACCCAAATGCTGGGTATAGGATGATGATGGGTTTTTTGAGAGCTCGGGGACACAGATTGCAGTGGGACAGAGTTCGATCCTCAATGCACAGAGTAGACACTACAAGCATCATCTTAAGGATGTCCCAGCTATGTTGCGTGATCAGAAGAACATACTCTGTCCCGGGTCCAAAGTCCCTGATGCATATTGACACA